TTGATTAACATAATGGAAGGGACACCTTCGTGTAGTCTTTCCTACTTTTCAATCTTGCCCCATTCGCTTTTGTTTAGGAATGACGTAAGGAGATCTCAACCAAATACTCTCCACATGAATTCTTTTTCCCTTTTTATCTGGTTTCCTTTTTGCTTGCTCTTCCTGCTGTTCCATCACGAATAACTGATGTTGTTCAGCAGCAGGGAAAAAATCCACAGCCATGGTGGCAGATACTTGACCAATTCCCTGCTGTTCACGGTGTTCTTATCTCTCTTCACCAATAACAACAGTAGCAGAATTACCTTCTGAATCAGTCCCTTGTGTACTACACAGCGGAAATGAACATAAATTGAAGTTGGGGATATCACTGGTGTCACAATTAGGAGAACTGGAAATCTTCTTTCTCTTAGGATTTGGAAGAAGTTGCGATGCATCAGATGAAATCTGCAAAATCAAGGAAAATATAAACATAAATACAACTGATACAAAAACACATTAGGCAAAAAAATACCTTGTAATCGAATTGCAAAAAATAATTACTTGGTCTAAGTGTTGAGACACATGTGGTGTTTGCATTCCAACAGATCCACTTTCTTTACCTTCAGATACATTTATATCTTCATGCAAAAAAAAACTAAATAATACTGACCAAATTTTATAAAATAATACAAACACACTTCACACCTGTTTGTGAGCCAACATGTGTGAATAGATGTATTTCTCCTTTTTCATATAACTGAATAAGCTCACCAAATTCTTTTTGAGCTGCATTGAGTCTTTCTGAATAATCATTCAAAAACATAAAAAAGAAAATAAAGTATGTAAATTTCAAACTGTAAAAAATATACTTGGATCAAATATAATAAATTCATGATCTATAGAATACCTTGACGTTTGTCTTCTGCTGTGGTTTCCCCAGGCTGCATGCCTTTGTCGATATCAGCAGTTCTAGTTTCATTCAATTGTGCACCAACGTCAACGAGCATTGGAGTATTCTCTGGAAGGTTTTTCTCAACTCTATCTTCATTTAATTCAGCATCATCAGAGAGTTTTTGAGTTGTATCAATTGAAGCACAACTATTTTCAACTTCCACTGCATATTCATAAAGAGAGGGGATGGATCAATGACCTCTCTCTCTCTCTCTCTCTCTCTCTCTCTTTATATAGATATATAAAAATTTCTTGTAGTGAAAATTTCCTGTGTATCTACACCTACAAGTTCCTTGCAAATAGCTAGTGTGTCTGCAAACCGTTTGTCTTTCCCAATATTGCTACACATATCACTCGATGTCAATTCTAAAGTACCAACAGGTGCATGATCTCCATCGCCAAATAAATTGCCTTTTGCAATATCACTGCCCAAAGCACAACTCGGTGCATGTTTTTCAGTATCAACAACTTGATCATCTGCACTTTTCTTAGTTGATAACTCTTCATCATTTCCATCTTTACTCAGTCTATCAACACTAGAATGTTCCTCTCTAACTTGTTGTTGAACATGTTGATCGCCTTCAAGAGCCGCTTCCTCACGTGTAGCATTTTCATCTGCGATTTTATGCGATGCATCATGAGCATCATGTTCTTCAGTATCAACAACTTGATCATCTGCACCTTGCTTGCTTCCAACATTCTCAGTTGATAACTATTCATCATTTCTATCTCTGCTCAGTCTATCAACACTAGAACGTTCCTCTTCAACTTGTTCTTGAACATATTGATCGCCTTCAAAAGTCGCTTCCTCATGTGTAGCATTTTCATCTACGACTTTATGCGATGCATTATGAACAACATTAATATCTGATAGATGTTCGAAAGAGTCGTTCATCCTATCATATTGTCGATAGTTCATCAAATCAAAATTGCCATCGTCCATTCCATTTGATTTGTCGACAATCTTAAACAACTTTTCAAACTTCTCATCGAAATATTCCTAGAAAAAAAATTACTAACAATGATTAATCTGAATAACATTAGCAGAAAAAAAGACTTCTCTATAAATTAGCTTACCTTCACTTTTTCAAAAACCGCATCCACAATAGCAGATCGCTCATCCCGTTTAAACTGATCAAAAACTTCTTTCACGATCGTGCTTCTTTCTTTTTCTGCGTGCCTTTGAACCTCCATCGTTACCCTCTAGTATAGAGACACAGAACAAAAATTCAGATATAAAAGAATGCTAAAGTTCAGCAAATACAGAACACAACTTTAGCTATTATAATGCTAAGTTCATCACAAACAGAACAAAACTTCAGCTCAAAAACGTGTTGTAGTTCTACAAAAACACAACAAAAAAACTTCAACTCAAAACTTACAAAACATATTGTATCGACTAATTCATTGTCAAATGCCGTTGTAGAACGGTTAGAATGACTCTGGGTACGAGATAATTCGCCAATAACAAGAGTTCGATTCGCTTCTTTTGATCGACTCTGACTACGTGGTGATTCGCCAATAACAGGAGTTCGATTCGCTTCTTTTGATCGACTCAGACTACGTGGTGATTCACTAGTTGAAGGAACCGCATTAAGTGCCTTTGAACGAATCCGACTGCATGGTAATTGTCCAATTAAAGGCATTAAATTCAATTCCTCTTCTGTAGGAATTATATCCAATACCCTAAACGTGTGATATCTCTGTTTAATACAAAAAGTATATTATGAGAAAAAAACTAATACGTCAACATATTGACACAAAGACAAAAAAAACTTACAGCACGATTACTGAAGTAATCCTCATAAAGTTCGTTATATTTAGGCTCTCCCACACATACATAACGTAATATCCTAGGAACCTGAGGGGTACCAAGGTACTCATCCTCTCTTAAATACTTCTCCCGAATATCTAGGAAGCGCTCATAGAACCAAGCACATAACGGAAATGGAAATCCACCAACTTTATACTTAGTTGAATTAAATTTGTTCTACTTGTCCAATGCATGTTACAGTGAGTAAATGAGCTTCTCATAACACACATTACCCCAAGGATATTCAGCACAAGCCTTATCATCTTCAACAATAACTGCATACTCCTTCAGCACAAATGATTCAGTCTTTTTTCCAAACAAAATAGATTCCACAACAAGAATTTTCATAAGCTTCACATCATCTTCATCACTCTCGCATACGTGTCTGAAATTCACAACATTCTTTGGAATTGCATTCCGAGTCATAAAATCTCGAATATCCTTCAAGGTCACACCCTTAGACTTCCCAAAATAGCGCTTCAGAATATTGCTCTCTCGATTAATTAGTTTTTCAACATTATGTGCTGTGATCCGCAAACTGCACATAATGTGAAAGTTTTTAAGGGTGAAGGAAACATCATGGCCAAAAATCTTGAAACTAATGGAGTCTCGATCATTGGTGAATATTCGAGAAAGACGCAAACAATGAACCAACTTGATGCTGTATTTGAAATTCTCCATAGCCATAATACATCTAAATGTACCATTATTAAGCTTATCCCGTTATGCAGGAGTCAAGAAACTTGCAATTAAACTCTTCAAATTGTGGTTCCCCTTTCAGTAACCACGACAGTTAAACCAATCTCCAAACTCATAATATCTATCCCCTGGTTTTGTAGGTGGAGCAACATGGACTAGAAGACTTGGGGGTATTATAGGTTGTTTAAGTGCTTTAGGTGCATTAGTTGCTTTACGTGCTTTAGCTACTTTAGGATCTTTAGGTGCCATCTGTTAAAAAACATTAAAAGATACAAAAAAATAACATCAAAACATTATAAAAAAAATCAGTTAAAACTTCAGCTCCTAGAGCTGAAATTCACCAGTTACAAAATAAAAACTTCAGCTCCTAGAGCTGAAATTCACCAGTTACAAAATAAAAACTTCAGCTCCTAGAGCTGAAATTCACCAGTTACAAAACAAAAACTTCGGTTCCTAGAGCTGAAGTTCACCAGTTACAAAACAAAACATTCAGCAAAAACATGTTATAGTTTTTATAAAAAAACAAAACACAAATTAAACTCCAAAATAATGCTGAAGTTCATAAAAAATATAGCAAAAAACACAAAACACAAAACACGAAACAAAACTTCAGCTCCTAAAACTAAGGTATCATTGAAGTATTATAAACTTCACACTTTAACAACATCATCTATTTAATTCTCAAAATTTTTAAAAATTTTCAACGTCTCCAAACACTGAATAATTTAGAATTTTTATCAAAAATACAAACACACGTTCAAAAAACCTAAAAACACAATCGTAAAAGTAAAACTAATGCAATAATAAAATTAAACCATAGGAAACTATTTTATCATAAATACATGACTATCAAAACCAAAACAAAAAATTAAATCATAAAAATTAATACTAAAATAAAAGAAAGTTAATGCAATGTACCTGTGATTATACGTAATGTTATTGGGGAACAAATAGTTGAAAAATAAAAAACAACGACGAAAATCGTTTGATTTCAGAGAAGAACAAATCAAAAAATACGAATAACGGGAGATAGACAACGACAGTAGAGGACTAACATATACTTGGAAAGAAAGTAGTCTTTTAATAAATAAGGGCAAAATAGTCTTTTTAAAGGCTTTTAACAAAAAAATAAAGCGGCTACAGGTTAAAAAGGGACAACCAAATAGAGCGACCATGCAATTTTTACAAAACTTATTAGTTATTACCCATCTAGTCCAATACCCATTTGAACTTTGAAGCCCACTAGTCCACCCCATCTTAGGCTGAAGCCCACTAGTACTGATACGTTACATACAGTCACAAACCTATTGTCCCATTTCCCAAACGGTCAAACCTAAATCAAAAATTAGATTTAGGGTTCCTCTGTGTGTGCGACACTGTGCGAGTTTGCGACTGCTGCCTTCTTCCTCAGCTCTGTGCGACTGCTGCCTTCTTCCTCAGCTCGACTGTGCCACCTTCTTCCTCAGCTCGTCGCTTATCCTTCTTCCTCAGGTTAGTGCGACTTCTTCTGAGTTCTGAGTTTAGTTCCTTTTCAGTTTTCTTCCTCTGTTCCTCAGCTCATTCGATTTTGGTGGAAATTTCTTGTGTTGATTATTAAAGTTAAAGTCAGCATGTAACTTTCTGCTATTGATCCCTTTCTATGCTAAGTTAAAGTCAGGCTGTAACAAAACTGATTCTGTTTGATTAAGTTGAAGTCTCGGCTGTAACTTAAGTTAAAAAACATGTATGCTAAGTTAAAGTCAGCACCTAAGTTAAAAGACGTATGCTATGGCTGTAACTTTCAGATTTTTGCACATTGAATTGGAGCCTAACCACACTCTTCATATTATTTAAATCGCAGAAACTCCTCTCTATCAAAGTCCATTAAGTTCTGGAATTAAGGACATTTCAATTAGTACTTCCTCTTTTGTGTATGTTGATTTTATGGCAGGGAAGATGAAAGAGAAGTTTAAAAAATATTGGGGTGAACCTGAAAAGATGAATAAAATGATATTCATTGCTTCTGTATTAGACCCTCATAATAAATTTGAGTATGTTGGTTTTGCACTTGAGGAAATGTTCAGGAAGGAACAAGGGAAGAAATTAACTGCCGAAGTGGATGCTTATTTTACCATGTTTATCTCTTATCTTGTCCAAGCTTGGGCCTCCTCACTTGGGCTATAATCCGTTTATAAGTCTCTCCCAGCCCATTGTCGTCAAGCGTTTCGACTGTTTTCCGCTGCCTCCTCTTTAAACCCTAGCCTTTTCTTTTCAGTCACTAATCTCTCCCCTCTTTGGTTCCTATTTGCTCTTGAATTTCTTCAATTTGATCGAAGATGAGGTAAGTTCTACTGCTTCTTTACGCTTTGCCTTTGTTCTTTTTAAAGTTTCCATCTTCTCTGCTTGCAATATTACGGATTTGCTTGACTTCAATGATCTGATTTCCTTGAAAACGTAAAACTCCGATAACTTTAGGGTTTTTTTGTCATCCATTAACAGTCTTTAGCATATTAATAAGTTAGACCACTTTTGTTTCTAGTATTGTATGGTTTCCTAGGTAACACAATTCTTCTGACATGGAAATTGAAGAATTTTATCTATTTTTTATGGATTAATTTTGAACAATTTTGAGTGTTTAGTTTTGCTTCAATGACAAATTACTTTACTACTATTAAACTGCAGTGGGTTTTAATAGAGTACATAGATATAGAAGATTCATATCCCCGACCTTAGCTAGTTTGGTACTAAGGCATTGTTCTTGTTTTTGTTGTGTTCTTTGTTTGGAGGGTTCCTTTTTCTTTTTGGGTCCTTTTTCTTTTGTTTTGATGACTGCTTTATCCTCGCCAGCTTGCACGCACCTTGATTACATTTGGTACCTCCACCGGCGGGTAACTCTGCCCACTGAAGCTTTTAGACCAAGGAGAAGAAATCACATAGTATTTTTTGCCTCTTCTAGGGGTTGAACCTGAGATCTAATTGTTGTCCTCCCACTTTATTTTCCTCTAGGCCACACCTTTGGGTACAGTAAAAGAAGACTTTCCTTTTCTTCTTAAAAAAAAACTTCCTTTTACTGTGTTTATTGGGTTTTATGTTGCATGAACTCTTGCCTTTGTAAATAGGGATGGTTGCTTCTCTAGCTCTTTATTATTACTGCTCTTAATAGTTAATTCCTTTGTTCACTCTGCAATTTATCAAGCTTAAACATATGTTATCTCATGCAAATCAGTAGTAGAATCCTTTTTTTGGTTAGAATAAAAGGCTAAGCAGGCTGTTGGATTTATATAATAGTAGAAATTAGAAAAGAAAATAAAAACCTTCTCATGTTTTGTTGATGAATTCTGATGTTTCTAAAAAACGTTCTCATTTTTTGTTGATGAATTCTGACGTTTCTATATTCTTGCTGGTTCTTGACTTCTTGTGTTAATCAAACATTAACAAAGTGAAGGTTCCTAATTCATTTTCCTTGTCTTTTCCTTTTTTCTTTTGCTCTTTTGCAGTCGGCCAATGGAAGAGGATGCCCCTGTAAGTCAGCTTACTTTGCAAGTGTTTTACCTATAAATAGCTTTTATTATTGATTTTGTATTTTACCCTTGGCTTATGGCTGTGTTGTGAACTATTTATATTTTAGGTTTTGTCTACTTCTTAATTCTTGTTCTCTTTTCTCTCTTTTTTTCACCTTAGTGCCATGTTAGATTTTTGTTTGTTGGTACTTGGTAGCCGTCACCCTTCCTGTACGTGTTACATCTAGTATTTTCTTGGAAAGAGATAGGGTTTACCCCTCCCCTTTTCAGTAAGAACAAGAAATTGTTTGAAGTCATGATCAACAGAGTTTTTTCAATGTGTCACATTGGCTATTAGCATGTCTTTGGTTAAGTCATTTGAGTTCACCACTTGTAAAACAAATGACAAAAACAATTAGAACTTTAAATAACAGTATAACTTCTTTTTGTATTAAAGGTGGTTTTCGGGCCAACTTGCGGACAACTATACTATTCCACAAGGTACATGCTATCTCACACTAGCATGGTTATAGAGTCACCAAGGCTTAGGCAGATGGAAATAATCGCCTAATATTTTTGTCCCCGTTGGTATTGGTATTTGAAAACTGCTCTATGAGATTTTTATCCACTTTATTGACCATTAGACCACACCCTTGGGTGCTTTGCTTCAAATAACAATATAGCTACCAAAAATTATTTGAAGACCCTGTATAGGTGGCTATGTAATGTGGTGCAACACCTGGGAAAATGGTTATAGCATATAAATTTGAGTGCCTTTCTACAGCATCAGCTGCATTAAATATTGGTTGAAGCAGTGCTATAAACTTGAGTGCCTTTCTACAGCATCAGTTGCACTAAATATTGGTTGAAGCAGTTGAACTAGAAGAATTTGTGTTCTGACCCTAGGTTGCACTCACGTCCATGCAAGTGTCGTTGGCTAAGTTGCTCCGACACGGCAGTTTAGGTGCGCACCCGTGTCGACATGACACTAATATGCCCGTGGTTATGAGATCCGTATTGGATTTGGTCAAATAATTTTGGGTGCTTTGACCACAACGGACGAAGAAATTCGAGACGAGATACAATTTGATTCTCGAAATAATCAGAATCAAAACTATGGTAAATTTGAAGCAAATAGCATACCTTATTTAGGAAATCAATCTTTTATTTATCTACAACTTGAGAATAAAAAAAAATTCACACTTTGCAAGTTATACGTAAGTATTCTACAAAATTTTTCTCATAATTTAGATTTTAGAGATAGTTTTATATTTTTAAATTTATGAATTATTTTTGGCCGGTTCACCCGCCTATATCCATTCTACGATGCGTATCCCTAAATCTTAGAATTTACATCTCGAAGGATGCTAGATCCGCACTCTTGTCGGACACTTGCACCCGTGTCCGAGCAACTTAGGTTGTTAGTCATTTCTTGTGTTGCAATATTGGATTTCCTGGAAACTTGGTCTAAATTTTGTTGTTCTCCTTTAACAGACATCCTATTCTCATTTCTTTTTGTCTTGGTTTGTTCATCCATACATGTGATCTTATTATTCATTTTCCATAAGAATCTGGCGTTCTTGTTTGCCTTCCGGATGTCAAAGTATTTAGCTTTTTTAATTGGTACATTATCCAGTTGAAGTACATAGTGAGTGTATGCCCTGCTATTTTGTTTTGTAGAGGGATGGACCTCGTCAGTTCCCAGTGAATCTGACCGTTGTGTTCGCTAATGGAGCTTTTTCCTTCTTTTCGCAGGTGAAAAATGAGGAAGAGGAGTTCAACACTGGCCCACTTTCTGTCCTGATGATGAGTGTTAAGAATAACACTCAGGTATTAATAGACTTTACTGTCTTTACTGATGTCTTTGTTTTGTCATGCTTGTGTAGTAATGCTACTTATATAAAAATTGACTAAATCTGATCTAGGATCTTGTTTATGCTGTCCATTTGCTTTCTAAGTCATGCCGGTGTACTTTCTTAAATGTCATAGATTTAAATTTCAATACTCTAGAACTAAATGCAAGCTTGAGTTTTGTATGTGAAAGAGCTTCAATTTTATAGTTATCTTACAGATGTTGTTCTGGCTGTTTTCTGCTTTATAGGTGCTCATCAACTGTAGGAACAACAGGAAACTTCTCGGCCGTGTGAGGGCGTTCGATCGTCACTGCAACATGGTGCTTGAAAATGTTAGGGAAATGTGGACTGAGGTTCGTTCTTTTTTCTGGGGTTTTTAGTAAATTTGTTTTGGACAATGCATCTTGGATATTGGATTTGTAACTTGCGCAAAGAGCTCCACTTATCCAAGTTGTGTATGTTTATTCATCAGGTTCCCAAGACTGGAAAAGGAAAAAAGAAGGGTCAACCTGTTAACAAAGATAGGTTTATTAGCAAGATGTTCCTTCGTGGAGATTCTGTGATCATTGTCCTCCGAAATCCCAAGTAGAGGTATTGCTGGATCTTTGACGTTGCTATGTTTTGATGGTGATTGGAGTAATTTGAGTTGAATTGGGAGCTGGTTCTTCATTTCATCAGTCCTTACTTGAATTGCAATTACCTTCTAAGTTTTTGAATTCATTATTGTGAAATTTATCAAACAATTTAAAATGAAATTTGGAACTTCAGAAATTATTAATACTAGCATTTAAATGTCATTTTTAAAATTGAAATGCTGAACGAGCTGTCACCTGGGGGGTAATACCATGATTGGAAGATCAATGATACGAAATGACAACAAGAGAAACTTCATGGTTCTTTTTTCCAAGCAGGAATATGGAGACAGAAAAAAGATTTTGGTATTTGGTGAACATGGAAAATGGTTAATGAGATAATGGTCTTATAAACATGAGCAATCATTTGTGTAATGGTGGATACAAATGATAGGAGGCTCAATGGGATGAAAATCTGCATGTTGTAGTGTCCAAGTTCGGCAAATGAAACGCAGACAGGAAAGTGGCATGGATATTTGGTGTATTACTAAAAGAGCTTGCCTTATGCACAAAACACCCTATGGTAGTGCAGAATAAGGAATTAGAGAATACATATACTGTTTTCCTTACATTTCTATGAAGCCTATTTCCTTGTGCATGCAGAAATGAATTATTTCCTCTATATTTTTGTGCTTTTCTACTTGAAATACGTGTTGTGAGTGTTACACACGTGCATGATTTATTTTCCAGATGACCCAAGATTGGGCGCATCGGCGCTCCTACATCCTTTTATTTTTCATGATCTGATTTCCCTCATTTCTTTGTAATGCTAATTATTACACTTATGCAATGTAGGTGAACCGGGTATGAGTGATTTGGAGTAAAACTTGTGAAGCAGCTAGGAGTTGGACGAACTTGTATGACTTTTCGTATTGGTAGAAACATGGACTTGATTACTAGAGAGGGTGCTGTAAGACTTGAAATAGGATTTTGCTGTTCTGCTACGTACTGTTATCTATTTCAGGGACCTTGTAAACAATGGATTTTAAAGTGGTTTTTTTGTAGTTTGTGTTATGATCAAGCTAATGTGTAGGATACCTTACCTTTCATATCCAGATACAATGCTCATTGAATGGGCTAGTAATTAGTATACTTAACAATGATTGAGTTTTGGTACATGCGTCGGCAGGAACATGAAATAGGCGAGTTTGAAATGGAGGTAAAGTTAACCAAATGAGTGAATACGATAAATGAAGCGTAATTTTTCACCCATACCAGTTAAACTTGGTCCTATATTCATGGCTGCAAGAGAGTGCAGTGGTGGTTTCAATTTATGCGTAACATTCAATAATTTTTTTGTATTAACTAACATAATCTCTGTAGAATTAAAACATAGAAGACTTTGCAGAAGTGGATCAATTTGTGTATTATGACGTAACTGTTAAAAAGTTGGATAATTGCGTTTGTAAGTAGTACATGAATAAGTGCATCCCAACTAAAAATCTTAGATTAGATAATTTATACGTGATAATTCATGTATTATTACTTATTGCCTAACAATTTTGTATTGTTGTTTATTGTATAACAATTTTTTAATTGTTATCACAGCATAAACAATTCTTGCATAACCATATAATAAACCAAACGGCCCCGCCCTGACAGTATCTTTTAACTATATTACTGATAACATTCGAATTATAAATAATTTTAAGCAGTAATAAATTGGACACTCCCTTATGGTCCCTCATAGCAGCGGTAGGTTTAGTACAAGTTCTTGTTACACTTTCATTGATGAGTTTGAAGGTAGTGATTAGGAGTTCACTTGGATCTGACTACTCCTCCACCTACCAAAATATATTTTTTCTTTTGAAAACGCTCCCACAATAGATTTCCTTGTAAACCATGTTTAAGTCATATTCGCATGAATATGGATGCAGCTTGTTTTGTGTGCAAAAATGAGGATGAAACCATCACCATATCTTCATCACCTGGCCTATTGTAGGAAAAATTGGGCTCTGTAAATCTCATTACATCTGATCCTAACAATTGAATCCTCAGCATAAAAGTTCTCAGTGTCACTCTTGACAATAATTATCTCATACGGGAGGATCTTTTTATTTTTTAATTTTTTATGGAGCATATGAATCAATGGAAATGCTAATTATCAAATTAATTATCATCTATCTCTCTAAGAATATCTCTCAACATGCCATGTAATTCAATTTTTTCACAACTAGGGAGCCTAACGGAAATAAAAAAACTCCATCAAAGTAAAATGGCTTAAACCACCTACTAGATGTTATAAGCTTAATACAGATGGGGCTCTTAAAGCGAATAAACTGTGATGCGGACTTGGTGGAGTCATCCGTAGCAGCTAAGGAGACTGGATGGTTGGCTTCAATGATATACATGCTGCTACTCCTATCCAGACAGAAATTTAGCTTTGCAACGAGATCTTCAACATGCATGTGACTTTCAACTATGGCCTTTGGAAATAGAAACTGATTCAACGGACGTGCTTCAATATTTTGAATATGATTATCCAATGTACAACATCATTATATGTGAATGAAGGTGACTGATGCTTCAGCCGGAGAAGGTGCTGCTCAGGCATCGCTTTAAGCAAGCAAACCAAGTGTTCCATGTTTTCGCAAAGAAAGATTTTGAGGCACTAAGCAGGCCGATCTAAATCAAGCTCTAACGTTTGCAGTTCCACTCCATTTTGTAGAAGCCCGGTTTCTAGAAGACAAAGGTAATACATATTGTGTTAGCTTTATTTCGGATAATATATATACTAAATTGGTTGAACTTGGGAACCAACATGTCCTAAGTGGCATCGCTACGGAATATAATATGGCTACTAATTATTAGTATTAATTATAGGTATTAACCAGACGACCTGGTCCGAGCTGGACATGGAAAAAAATAGCCCGTCCGGTTAGTGGGGGTGGGCTGGGTAGTGGGCTGGGGTACCGGGTTAATAGTGGGCTGGGATTTTTCAGATTAAATTGGGCCGTCTGGTTTCGGGCTTATCGGGTCCGGACCGGACCGAGTTAATTTTTTTCTTTTTTAGTGTATTATGTTTCCTTATTCAATGTAATTGATACTTAAGTATTTGCAAACTTTTAAATAATAAAATAAATATTTTAAGGCATAAAATTAAACTTTTAAACTTTAAAGTTTTAAATTTAAAATTTAAAATTTTAAAATTGAAATTAAGCGGCTACATAAAATTATTTAATAAGATCAATATGTAAGGATCAAACTTCAAATGTTTTTCGTTTCATATTTTCATTGAATAATAAATAATACTTCAAATTAATTTGCAAGTTCTATTTTGATTTTTTTATTTGTGAACTTGCAAATTAAAAGTTTACAATAATTATAAAAAAATAAGAAAGAGTACATCACATGCTTTGCATCATTTTTGTAAGTTCATCCAGGTCAACATGAGGTTCTTGGTTTTCGACATTGCCTGAATCGGAACCATAAACCATTATATCTCCAATTTCTTGGTCCTCCGTTTCATCTGCCGCTTCATGCCCTTGATTTCGCCGTTCTGATCTGATCCAATCACTGAAGCACACTAGAATTTCCAAATTGTTGATACCCAATAAATGACGGGTATCTCCTAGCTACTGCCTTGCTTGGCTAAATGCGCTCTCTGATACAACTGTTGAAATCAGCACATTTAGCACATCTCGAGCCATGGCCGAAAGAACAAAAAATTGATTTGAGTTAGTCCTCCACCAAGCCAGTGGTAGAAATTCCTTTGTGCGGGGCTCTATTGCCTTTTACAAGCAGAATTGGAGTTCATCAATATTTATGCTACTAGTTTGTTGATGCTCTCCTAGTGTAGACCAAATTAAATAATCTTCAACACGATCATTATCCTCCATAGCACCGAATGTAGATATAGAAACTGAACTTGAAGAAATTTTTGCATCTACAGCAAAAGAAGCATCAATAATGTTATCATAATGATTATATAAAGTTGCATCAGCACATGAAAGTTTACAAATTGTGGTACCATATCATTGCCCCCTTCGATAAAGTTTCTCCAAATTTTTTCAACAAAACGGATTCAATCTCATCATCTTCTAAGTCATTTCCCTTTATTCTGCATGTGTACGAAGTGATGTGTTCATTAAGATCGGTGGTCCCGTTGTACTTGGGGATGTCCGGCATACGGAACTTCTTAGGAATGGGCTTCGGAGCTACACTTTGAGGAAAAGGCTTTTACACGAACTTCTTCGAATCCAAACCCTTTGGGTGCCCCCGGTATTTGGTCAACTCGTGAGTTGTACGTTTCTATTTTTTTGTCATTGGCCTCGATTTTCCTTTCACCTGATTCTATCCGTTTAGTGAGCCCCTCAAGCATTTTCATGATGGTGGGATCAGTTCCCAATTCATTATCGTTCAATTTTTCCTGCACGGGTTCGGCCCTATGAGCAACTTCCTATGATGTATCGAGTTTGATTTTGCTTGGGGCTCGATTCTGATTTTAGAGTTGCGCTATCGCGGCCTACTGAGTTTGTAGCATGTCAAATATTATTCGAAGGCTAATTCCGCCTTCTTCACCATTTTGTGTATTCTGATCGGCTGCCCGGGCATCTCTGCGGACGCTATTTTCAGGGTCGGCGCCTAAATCTCCACGAATGGCGACATGAGAATTGACATCAACCGGATCCACGACAGTGGTGCGTCGGGATTGATTGGAGGCACTCCATTTTCCAGGGCTATTACGTGCTCGTTTTTGCCATGAAGACCAAGGCCGGTGTCAGTATGAGTGGGTACTGTTTGAGAGTTTGACATGTCGATTCCTGAAATAAAAAACACTTACGAGAACAAACGTAAAAGCAGTGTATGTTATGAAGGTTAATATTAAGCAATCACTATTATCCTTAGCCCACGGTGGGCGCCAAACTATTTACCCTAAAAATCGAGTAACATTAAACTTGTAATGTGGTTTTAAAGATACATGATTTCACTTAATACCAATTGATTAACTTCGAGATAAATGATGGAAATTGACAAGAATGTAAAATAAACCAATGCTTCGACAGTGCCCTCGAGCTGATGAACCCTCGAGTGTAGTGAAGTAAGAACAGTTAAAGAGCAGTAAGTTGATGAGCAGAAGAAAGAAATATTATATTGCCTTGATATTCGTGAATGTAAGTCCTTTACAAATGATGGGAACCACTTTTATATACTAGAGGAATCCTAATTATAGTAAAATTCTAATTACGGAAGTAAATCTCATGATTGGTAAAAATAACCACCCTTGATTTGATATTTTCTGAGATTTTCTCCGTGATCTTTGACCGGTTACGAATATCTCGACTTTCCGTTATTGCACCATACTCGAAGTCGGTCATACTTAATCTCGATTGCTGTTGGCCTCGGTCTCAATGGGCACTTTGATCTTTAGACTCAGTGCCTCGTCTTCGAGCTCGGGTCTGATTCATTACGAGGCTACCTCCGATGCAACTCCCTTGACTTGATCAAATAGTAAAATTAGATAGCCCCGATTTTGACCGTATACACTATTATTGATCAAAGGTTTGAAAATAGGGATGTACGTTAAAGATTGAGCGCGGAGAAATGAGTTGGTGAAAGCAGAGACAATTCATAATGTTGTAAAGACTGATGGAATCGCCTGAAGGTGAAAAATTGAGGCAGAAGGCGGCGGAGCTGAAGGATGTGGTAAAAGCATCGTTCATGGATGGTGGTGCAACAAAAAAAGACATTGAATCATTTATGTCTTATATCACTAGATAAGCTCTTTAAATTAGTTAGGCATAGAGTAAGATGTAATTAAGGAGTAGCAATTAGACTCTTCAATTCTCAAGGGATCTCTTCTATTCTTATTTCTTAAATAAATTGTTTTTTGACAATCTGTCTAGGTCTCTTTCATTTAAAATATGAGAAGAACACTTGTTATAAGCAATTCTATGTTTTGCAAGGTCCTCTTTTCTATTTATTCAAATATTTGTTAGAAAAATACTTTCTAAACTCATCAAAAATTTATCTCGTCCAAGTTCACACCTCAATTCGAGGTTATGAAACGATCGATTGTAATAGTAATACCCAACAAGGAGTCGTAGTC